CCCTTGCCAGCGGTGCCGCCGGGAGAGGGTAGGAAGGATAGTTGAGCGCAGGGGCTGCGAGCGGCTGTCGGGCTTGGAAAGTTTTCCGCCGCTTCGGAGCGCGTCGAGTTGGGTCGCGTTGTTTTCTCAAGCGCAGTCAAAGTCCGTGTGGCCCAAAATCGGGGAAAGAGGCTTTCCTTGTGTAATGATGATGGATTTTTTTTAAAAAAAGGATCATCTTTCCATCCTGCGCCCCTCTGGATTTTCCATGGCGTGCGCTTGTTTGTGTCTGTTGCTTTAGTCCATTGGGAATACCGAGCAGCCCGCTGAAAGGGCGGAGTATAAACGAGAACTGGTAACTTTGAAGAGGAAGGCGAAATCCTTGCTTCTCTCCCTTAGAAAAAAAGAGTATTTTCCACTCCCCTCTATTACCCTTTCTTGTTCCCGATCCCTCTTGTTTTCCTTCCCAGGCTTTCCTGTCTGGATCATTTTGTTCATTCATTCACGTTTCCCCCTTGGACTCTCCTCCCCCATCATTTGCCTTCATCTCTCTCTCTCTCTCTCTCTCTGTGTGTGTCTGTGTGTGTGGAGGTAGGCGCAAAAAAGAGCCAGTTGCATTGTCGCCCAGAGGAAACAGCTGAGCCTGCCTCCCACTGTTCCTGGCTGTCACCTCAAGTCACTCCCGCAACCTGAGCAAGGGTGGTTGGTGTATGCCCTTGTCAAGGCCCTTCTTTCTGACTTATGGCAGCTCTATGAATGAGTGGCCTCCAGAAGGCCCCATCTTCAGATCTTTCCGAACTAGAGGGTGTGATTTATGGAGTCAATCCATTTCCTATTTGGTCTACCTCTTTTCCTGCTTCCTTCAACTTTGCTTAGCCTTATTGTCTTTTCCAGTGAGTCTTGTTTCCTGGTGAGATTTCCATAGGAACATGGGGCAGGACTTTTCTCTCTTGCTTTATCTTTTAATGTATTACAGTAATAGTGGTGAGATCCTGGGCATGGTAGATTAATTTAAATTGTCACAGAAAAAGGCAGGTTCCAATCTTCAGCTTTTTAGCTGACATGTTCCCTAAATGAATGAGTGTGCATACTGATGGGTTGGTAATTAATGTATAACATTTAGCACTTAAATAATCTTTATAGGAAAGTTATCCAGGAGCATTATCCAAATAATTCAACCATATAGTCCTCCTGCCTTTGTGTTACTACTTTTGAGAACAATTGTGATTTTTTTGGGGGGGGGGAGGTATGGTTTTAGGATGCTGAAGCTGTGCTGAATTTGAACCCCTTCCAGTCTGTTAGAAATTATCTAGGAATACCCTTACCTTGACCTAACTCTCTATTGGCATAATGAAAATGTTCCAGGGATGGAGGAGGTCTGGATCTGGCATAATTTGGTTCCTCCATTACTCCACCTCTTCTCCACCCATTTGGTTCTCCTGGATGGTCACAGGAGGGCCTGTCAAGTCTTTTTATTTGTAGATCTCTGAAATCCATCAGCATAAGGGCAGTTTTCCCAGCACAAGAAGCTTTGGTTCATTTCTAAACCCAGTGCAGCCGGCAAAGTACGTAGCACATTTAAGAGGTGGGGAAACCCAGTAGATGGAAGATCCTGTGTGCACTTATGTATATTCTGTATGAACACTGTTCTGAGCTTGTACTAATTCCAGCAGTAAACCTGAATGAACATGTTTGCAAAACTGAAGCACAACTACTTGCCAGCGATTGCAGGTGAAAACATATCCTGAATTTGCATTAGCCTCAGGATCATTCAGATGTTTCAGTGTGTTCAAAACAGCTTGTATTCTGTATGTGTAAAGAGATGGTTCACAGTTGTACACAGGATAAGTGATCATGGAGAAAACATTAGTGTGAACTAAACATTTCATTCTACACACTGGCCTTCTTTTTTGTAGTGCGTTTTGTAGTGCATGTACCCATGCATGGGTAAAGTGCACCCACAGACCTGACAACAGCAAGGCGTCTGCCACTTTTAAAGGCTAATTTCCAGCCCTGTTTCCCACTGTTGTTGACTCTACATAGGAAAAATATGAAGGACCCTTAACATGTTTAATGCTAGTGCTCATACTTCTTACCATGTCTAATTCTAGTGATACCATTTCATTCGTGTTGCTGTTTTAATAGTGAAAAATAGCCTGGATAATAAGTAAATAGAATTTGTAGTATTGTGGACTCTGAATTTAAGTGTGTTTACAAAAAAGAAAAAAATAGGAAAAATGTGAGTGAAACAGAGGCTGCAGGCTGGTCATGTTCTCAGATATTTTATATGTCTGAAGGATTTGAAGGGAATCCTCGCTTTTTGTAGAATTTGATCTTTAGCCCTAAATTAAGGGCAAAATGGATGAATCTTTGTCATAATAACTGGATGTGTGGGCAAGAGGAGTGGGTACTACATCTTATGGACAGAAAATGCCTCAGCAAATTGTTCTGAAAATTGGAAGTATAGCAAAGATAGGTAGGTTTGAAGATGTTCACTGCCAATCCATTTGTACTGTATCTTTTGGACAACTTTTAATGTCTTTTGGGTCAACACTGGAGAAATATGTTTTTTTATTAAGGATGCCTTACACAACAGGTTTTTAGGACTGTCAGTCTATGATCAGTGAGAAGGTCCGTGCCAACTTACTCTGTGTAGATGGTATCGGTTGGCAGTTGGGCATATTTAGCATGAAATGGTAACTTCGGTTACAGAAACTGCACCAGTGCAAAAACATGCCTGGGACACCAAGTGTACCTGTGAAGGTACTAGGACCAAGAAGAAGGAGTCTCTGTCCTGGTGATCTTAACACTTGAGCAGGTTCATAAAAGCAGACACAGTCTTTGAGATAGCTTGGGTCCAAGCCATTTAGGGCTTCATAGGCTAGAACCAGCAGTTTGAATTCAGCCTGGAAACGGATTGGCAGCCAGTGGAGCTGCTGTAATGAGAGTTAAGTGGTCCCTGTGTTCAGCCTCAGTTAGCAATCTGGCTGCTGCATTTTGGACCAGCTGAAGTTTTCTGACATTTTCTACAGTCAGCCCCATGAAGAATGTGTTACAGTCATCCAGCTAGAATATTACTAAGACATGTGTCACTGTGGCCAGATCAGACCTCTCATGGAGTGGGCACAGCTGGCAGACTAGTTTTAATTGTGCAAATGCTCTCTTGGCCAATCTGGACATCCAGATTCAGACAAATCCAAGAACAGCCACCAGCTGTAACCTCATGAGTGTAACCTCATTCAGCACAGGCTACATCTCTGTTCCCTGAAATGCCTTTCAACAGACCAGGAGTACCTCTGTATTATCTGGATTAAGTTTTCGTTTATTCACCCGCATCCAGTCCATTACTGACACTTGACACTGATCTAGTCGAAATAGCTTCCTCAGATTTAAATGGAAAAGGGAGATAGAGATGGGTGTCAACTGCATACTGGCGACACTGAACTCCAGAACTCCGAACAATCTCTCCCAGGGGTTTCATGTAGATGTTAAGTAACACAGGAGACAAAACGTAACCCTGAGGGACCCTACTGGTCAGCAGCCAAGTTTGCTGAACAGGAGTCTCCCAGCACCATCTCCTGAGTTCTCTCCTCCAGGAAGGACCTGAACTACTGTAAAAAGTACCTCTAAATCCCATCCCAGAGAGACAGGCCAGGAGGATACCATGGTTGATGGTATCAGAAGCTGTTGAGAGGTCCAGCAGAACCAACAGGGACATCTTCCCTGTGTTTATTTCCTGGTGTAGATCATCTGCCAAGGGAACCAGAGCAGTTCTGTTCCATAAGCAGGCCTGAAGCCAGATTGAAATGGATCTGGATAATCTGTTTTATTTAGGAATCCCTGGAGCTGAGAAACTGTTCCAACACCTTGCACAAGAATGGATTATTAGGGACATGGAAACATATGTTGCTAATGGAACTTCATAAAAACCTGTTGATACATAGCTTTTTCAGCTTCATTTTTATTTTAATGTTTACATTTTAAACCAATTAAAAACTTTCCTGACAAATCCAGCAACTTTATGTCAATATCGCCTTGTTCGTTTAGTCTTTTTCTTTTTACACTTTCCTTCCTCAAGGCTGTGATTGGGTAACAGTTTAAAATTATATATACCTGGAAAATGTATTAAAACTTTACAGGAACGCCAAGTGACCTGCCCTTATTAACTGAACCTTCGCTTCCTCTGTTTGATGTGTGACACAACCACATGTATGGAATGGGCCTGAAACTGGATGAAGCAAGCCTAACATGGACTTAATAATGTTGCATTTTCTGCCTCTCTGGCAGGCAGAAGCAAGGAGCAGCATATAGTGCTTCTAATGTTAGACACACATCCTTCACGATGTCATTTTGTTATGTAGAACAGGCAGAAAGTGTCCGACACCACCACCACAACCATAAACAAAGTGATTAAAATACAATGGGAATATATTGGGTTTATAAGGTTTAGAGAGTTCTGCTTTACCAGATTTAATCTGCTCTGATATTTTAGTAATTATTGTCTGTGTGAAACTGTGAAGTCATAACTGTTGGCATGTTTTAAATATAGCTGTATCTTACAGCCAAGAAAGATATACCTTTAAAGCAGCGGTCCCCAACTGTTTTGCGGCTGCAGACCAGTTGTGGGGAGTGAGCTCCATGCGCGGGGGAATGTGGGTACCACCAGGGTTCATTTATGTTTGAAATCTGTGTAGGTGTTCCTTTTAAGTCTTAACTGGTACTTTCTTAGTCCCATAATCCAGTAGTAGAAGATTTACTGATTGACCTAAATACTTGTTTTTGTTAATTTCTTGCCAACTGTTTCCATCTGAACAGTGAAAACTAGTTTTAAACAGAATATAGCATTATTTGAGTGCATGCTGAGATTGAAGCAAAGGTTACATAATTAAACTGAGAATATTTATAGCTTATACAGTATTAAAAAAGCAAACCAGTGTCTGAGTCTTTGGTTATTAAGATCCCAGCAAGACGGAAAGAAGAACTTTCTCCAGTAGTTGGTTTTTCTAGTATTTAAACACGTTTTGGTACAGATCTTAACAAAAAGGCTTTTAAATCCAACAGGAAATTTAATGCCAAGTCCAGTCTTTTCTTCGGGGAGTAGGTCAGGCTGAGCGTGTGCGACTGGGCCAGGGCCGCCCAGTGAGTTTCACAGCCAAGAGGTGGTTTGGATATGGGTCTCCTGAGTATTTGTCTGCAACCAGTACACCTCGTTGGTGAAATTGTTGTGGAGTGTGCGTGTAAGTTGTAAAAAAATTGCTTCTGGTGGAAGTATGTCTTTTGGAGGTTGATTCTATAAGACCTGGCCCAAAAAGGTCTTCAGGTCAAATCTTCTCCCAGTTATAAAGCTCACCAGATATTTTTGAGCCATTCCCACACCCACTCAGTCTAGTGGGCCTTGCAGGGGGCTAGTGTGAGAGAAATGAGTTAATTACACATTGTGCTTCTCTTAACTCTGAGGTAAAGGCAGAAAGCAAAGGTTCACGTTAATAAATTGCCATTCTAGTTTGGGTAATTATTAAAGCAACAACAGAGTGTTGGACTACCGTGTGGCTTATCCCTATGGCCATGGTTTCTGGAAAGCACAAACTGAGGGATGGGCCGGTGCCCAAGAGCATCAGATTCGAAGAGGGAAGGCCAAGAGGTTTCTCACACCACCATGAAGTTCACTGCCTACTAAGGCTGCGGTGAGGATAATGTTAGCAAAGGAGAGAGTTCCTCAAAAGGATGGCAGGATGTGAATATACCAAAGAAACAACTCAGTGAATGTAAGTTTTACTAGAGCTAAAGAGTTGATTATGATAATAGTTCTCTCCCTGCTCCCAATTTCAGCTTAATGGACAACAACAACCTACCTTTGGGTTCCTGTTTGATATTGACGGAGTCTTGGTGCGTGGGAAGACACCTATTCCTGCAGCAAGAAAAGCCTTCCAAAAACTACTCGGTTCTCAGGGAGAGTTTCTGGTGCCTGTTGTATTTGTTACAAATGCAGGGAACTGCCTTCGTCAGAAGAAAGCAGACCAGCTGTCTCATATTCTTGGAGTGCCTGTGAGTGTCTTCTGGATGTGATGGCAGTTTTTGTGTGCCTATGTAGGTTGTGCCTTTTACTCATAAAGACGGTCTTTTATACTTGTTGCAAGCCTTATAGATCTCGGTGGCCCTTGTCCTAAGGCTGATGCTGTTAGTCTTTATTCCCCATCCCTTTCAGGAATAGCACAAAGCTCTTCTCTCCACTCCGGCCAGCCACTTCCAACTTTTCCTTCAGTAACCTGCTGCCACCAGGGCCCTTCCTCAGGTCCTCATTCTTACCCTCTTATTTGACTCTTCAGGAAAGAGAGAGAGATCTTTTACTGTATAGGAAATCAGCATTAGGTATGATTGACAGAGACCAAAATATACATCATTATGCTACAAATGTAAGATATCACTATAGATATGTTATTGTCCTGCACAATCCAATATGCAGATATTTAGCAGCCGTATAAGTATAGTACAATAATAGAATTTTAATGCAACATATTGGCTGACATCCAGTAGGAAATTGCAGCTAGAGTAGGCCCATTGAATCAATTGAACTTAATTAATTAATTAATTAATTAATTCATTCATTCCCCACCCATCTAGACCGAAGTCTGCTCTGGGTGGCTAACAATAATAGATAAAACAAGAACAATATAATAAAAAAAACAATAGTAGTAATATAGTTCAAGATGGGAAAAATAATCAAGTGATGACAGGAGGGAAAGTCTGCCTAAAGAGCCAGAAGTTTGCACCCAGCAAGGGAGCCAGACAGATCTGTGAGGGCAGACTGTTCCAAAGTCGAGGGACCACTGCCAAGAAGGCCCAGCTTCTTGTTCTTTCTCTCTGGGCCTCCCTCGGCGGTAGGCCCCTCAGTCGCCCTTCTTGGCTAGAAGGAGTGATTTGGGTAGATCTAGGTGGGAGGAGGCGTTCCGCTAGGTAGCGAGGTCCGCAACCGTTTAGGGCTTTATATGTCATCATTGACACTTTGAAATCAATGCAGAAACGAACGGATAGCCAATGCAAGGCAGCTAGAGTGGGGGAGATATATTGATATTTTTTCACCCCAGTGTGAAGTCTGGCTGCCTCATTCTGCACCATTTGAAGCTTCTGCATCAATCTCAAAGGTAGCCCCACGTAGAGTACATAGATGTTGACTCACTTATTTCTTGCTCATTCAGTGGGTATACTCTACTTATAACTTACTATAGAATTTCAGTCATTATTTTATACTGCTAAAGATTGAAACTGTCTCTGTACGATAATCTACTTCTGTTCACAGTCAATATAAAATCTCTTATTATCCCTCCTCCTTCCTCTCTTTCTAACTAACTTTTCCTAAACCCCATTAAAGGTAAGCTTATGTGTTTTAATTATTGCTATGCATATTTTGTATATCATGTTATTTATGAACAAGAGCTGGGTTTTTTTGTTCTTTTTAATAGATTTCACAGGACCAAGTCATGATGTCCCACAGTCCTTTGCGTATGTTCAAACGTTACCATGACAAATGTGTTCTTGTGTCTGGACAAGGGCCACTTCTTGATATTGCTAAACAGTATCCTTTCTAATGGTTGGTTTATTGTAGATTATGCAAAAGAAATGGCTGATCTGCACCAGACCATAGTAGTGTTCTGGTGCCTCCGCCACCCTCTCCATATTGCCTTTAATACAGCAATCAAAGGGGCACAAGACAGGGTGGATTTGATTTAAATCAAATCAATTGATTTGAAGCACAATTTAATTTTTAAAAATGAGATTTTGTTGACAATTTAAATAAAAAAACCAATATTTTAAATTTAATCATGATTAAAATTGTGATTAGAAATGGAGGTATTCGTATATGAAAGATGCGTCCCCGCGAAGCTGGAATTAACCGTTCGCTCATGCGTCTCGCAGCGGCCCAGCTCATCTTTCCCATTGCACTCGGAGTGCTGCTCTCTTCCCACTTGGCTGGCCACTCTGGGCGGTGGTGGGGGGAGGACAAATCTCCTTGCATGGCTGCTGAGGACAAGTGAGCAGACGGTCTGGGCCCAGGGACCAGACCCTTGTTAAATCCAGCTGCATGGGGACATTCGTATTTGTATAGAAATATGAATACCCCCATCTCTAATCGTGACTCAAATGAATTTGATTTTTAAAAAGTCATTGATTTTTATCCACACTGGCACAGAATGTAAACAGGTCTTCAAGATCTCCAGAATCAGGCAAGGCTATGGTTACATAGCGTCGTACAGGATATTTTGTGGTGGAACAGGGCAAGAGGAGTTGTAGATATCAGATGAATGTATTTCAGAACTTGAAGACTTTGTGGGACACTTTTCTTTGGCTTGGGAGATAAGTTCCGCAAAATGAACTCTTTCCAGTCCGTAAGTCTAAACAACATTGCTATAAGTAAGCCTGGATTTAGCAGGAGTGAGTTTTGAATTAAACGTTGCAAGCTGGATTGTAATGTGAAGAGTTAATAACAAAATTTATTTTGCAAGCCACTGTGCCGCTGAAATAAAAATTGCATTCATGAAAATCCAATACAGTATGTAGAGATTATAGCAAGGCAATAAGTATGCAGTGTTCAAGCTCTTTATCATTTACATAATCTCCCAAGAGTGGATAGAACACTTTTAATATAATTAACAGGAAGCTGTCACTGCCAGACTGAGTATATTGCTTAATTTGCTGTGGTAAGGCAAACATTTACATTTCAGTAAAATATAGATGCACTGAAATCCCTAACAAATTACATCACTAGTCTTGGATTTTGCCAGCCTATTACAATTGACAAACTGAGAGAAACCTATCCACTGTTGGACATGGTTGACCATGACAGAAGACCTAAGATTTTGGTAAGTACAGTATACTCTGCTAAACATCTTTCTTCATAATTTATTGACCATTTGTTGTATTGTTTCTAATTTAAGTAGTTTCTCTGATATTTTGGACAAAACCAAACACCATCATAGGTGACTTGCGTTACAGAAATCTGTAAACAGGCAATTGAGAGAATATTCTTCTGCTTTTTAATGATGGACAAGGCTCATAGCTTTTTCTCTTGATACCAAGTTTAGCTCTCCCGTTGTGTGAACGTTTTCAGAGGGAACTGCCTTAATCAGTTCCCATTTTGGAGATGTAGGCCTGGTTGGAATTCTTAATATTTGTCACAGTTGCAGGCACCACCGCAGTGCAGAGCTCACAGATGTTCACTGTTGAGTGACATGGTCACCTGTGCTCTCCTGCTACACAGTGCTTGCCCACCTACCCACCCAACTGCCCACTAACCCGCTTTCCACCAGCGTCCTCTGCACACACATATCCCACAATCTGTGGCTTTCTGTGTGCTGCTTCCCTTCTTGAGCGCATTGTGTCTCAGCAGCATCAGACCGTGGCAGGGGGACAACAGAGCCCAGGCACTCTGTGCTAGGAAAGGACTGAGCCGCCAGAATCCAGAATCCTCTTTGCCTGCTCGCCCCAACACAGAAACTATTGGGAAGCTCTAGAGCAGATAGGAAAGCGATACCTCCCTTCTGAGGCCTGAGGGTGGTGGGAGAAATGTTGCACCTTTCCAAATGCTGCGTAGACTTGGCAGCCAGCTTTCCAAAGCACATTGCAGTCAGTAGCCCACCATTCCAGTGTGTTATGAGATGCACAGCTCTTGCCCCATTGCCTCTCCTCTCTTAAGGGCCTGCTTTAAGGGATTACCGCACAAGAATGCTAACATGGTCTCCTGAGCCAGCATCATACCCCTAAAACTTTTTAAACGTACAAGATTTCCCTCTCACAGGTGTCACACAGTCTGGCGATGTGTTCACTTAGCGTTTGGCCATGCCAACTTCCGTTATCTTTTTCTGGATAATCTACTTTTCTGCCTTGTCACAGTCCATCTGTGATGCCAGTATCAAAAATCAAAAATGATACGTACTGGCATTTTTTTGACCCATTGTGCAAATGTGTGGTTTAAACTGAGTATTGTTTGCTGTTCGTACTTTTGTGTCAGGGGAAGGTTCCCTTCCCATGGTAATAGCAGTTTGGTGGTGGGAGGCAACTTGATTCCTCCTTGTGCCTGTTGTTTTTGTGTTGTTTTCAGGCCATTAAACCCTGCATGTTGTTTAGCCCTTAAGGTCTCCTTGACAGCTACTCATATGGACTTCTTGTGTCTTTGATATTTTTGGCTCTTAAAATCTGCCCGACAGCTGCTTGAATATATGTATTGTGTCTTTTTAATTTGACCATGATGATGATTGTTCTTTGTTGATAAGTCAGGGCAAGTATTTGATTATCTGTTTGTTCCATTATGTCACCAGCTAGAGTAGTGTTTGTCACTAATCAGGCAGTAGAATGAATGAATGAATGAATGAATGAATGAATGAATGAATGAATGAATGAATAAGACTTAAGATGTACTACAAAAATTACAGCACATGTCAAAACCACATTTGTTATGTCGACTAAAGAAAGGCAAATTTCACTGAATTGCTTTTATATTGTTCACAGCATTTAAAATGCTGTACAAGTTGTCCAGAGACTTTACGCAATGTTGACTGATTTTGGAACAGATTAGACAGCAACTGAGACTGTTATGTGTAAACATGAGGAAATGCCTCCAAGAACTAGCAAGAGAATTGCCCAAGTCTTATAGGAGGTGGAGGATAAAGAGGACAGGAGCAGTGGACTGAAGAAGCCTAGTTCAGCTCTTATCTCCGGTTTCAGTAGGATGCATCTGGGACATGGGGATTGTTAGAAAGTTAATATTAACTCTCTGCCTATATGGTTTTCTCTTTGCTTTGCTTTGTGGAATTAATATGTTGTATTATTCTGTCAAAGTTCTTTTTTTCATTCCTGGGTGAATGTGTTGCCATTTCCTTTAGGCTGCAGTGCATGCAGATTTAGTTAATTTTGGAGAAAGGAAAGGAAAGATGATCACGGCTTTTAAGAGAAATTAACTTTGCAGTGCATGCAGATTTAGTTAACTTTGGAGCAAGGAAAGGAAAGAATGATGATCACGGCTTTTAAGAGAAATTAACTTATTTTGTACAGTTTGAAGCATGGCCTAGTGCTCCAGTCAGGAATAACCTGAAGGAGGATGGTTGCTTACGTATAGTGTTAAGTGTGGCTTCAATTATGTAATGCAAACCGTGAATTAGCTATCAAGAGATTGTAAGGGTTTTTAATTGTTGTTGATAACTTGAATGCGTATTTTATAAAGGACTGCGATTTCCAGGTTTGTGATTGGGAAAGGAATTTTTATTTTATCTCCTTGTTGCAAAGCACTGTTCTTCCTGTTTTAGAATTAGTAACATGAGAAGTCTTGCTGAAAATATCACCAAGCATGAAATGTCTTCTCTGCAGTATTGGAAACGAAAGGACCAACCAGTTGGTCAGTGCCCACGGAAGGCTTCTCTTAATAAAAGCTAACTTGTTTTTTTATTTCTTGTTTGTTTTGCAGCATCGACCTCCAGTAGAACTCCCCAAGATTGAGGGTCAGTATGACCTGGGTTTCAGTTCTGCTGTAGCTTATTCCTACATAAAGTGGGATTCTAGAGGCCATTTTAAAAACATGGCTGATTTGTAGGCATATGGGAATTCTAAATCTTGAGTGAATAATCTTCTCTTATTAAGACTAATCTACAGTTCCTTCTCGGTTTATTTTCTCCTAGCTTTGCATTACTTGTACACTTTTAAATTTGCCATTCAGAGTTAAACTATGATACGTATGTAAAGGGGAATCAAACAAACCCAAAAGCAATGTCTTTTAGAAATCAGCTTTGTTTACAATGGAAAAGGAGCTGTTATTGAAAATTACAGCATGAAACAGTCAATCCACTAAATCAGTTTTTCCAAAAAGCAAAGTATGCTGCTTATATGCCACCTAGTCAATCCGCTAAATCAGTTTTTCCAAAAAGCAAAGCAAAGTATGCTGCTTATATGCCACCCTATAGCACTTAAAGCATGATCTGGGTGGTTTCTAAGTTAATTATGCAGGCTACACATACCCCCCCCCCCCTTGGTGAGCTGCGTACTCATTTCACCAACCTCTGAAGGATAGAAGACTGTGTCAACCTTGAGCTGCCTACCTGGGATTGAACCCTGGGCTGTGAGCAGTTTTGGCTGCAGTACAAGAGTTTAACCACTGTGCCGTGAGGCTCAAAAAACATTTTACTGTATTTGTTAATTTGTGCTACAAAAAAAAAAGAACTAGGTTATTTAAACAGGCCTTCCCTACAGTCAATTAAGTTAATTTTCTTTCTTTTTTTCTCCTCTTCTTGAGTCTTGCCATCTTGGAAATGTGTTGTTTAGAATTAATTGTGATAATTGTATTTTTAGATATGTTTTCTTGATCTGTTTTAATTCATGTAAACTGCCCCGAGTAGATGGTGTCTAGAGGGATGGGGTAAAAAATCAAATAAATAAATAAACAAATAAATTGGTGGTGGCCAGAAGTGCATTTGCAGTTAAAACCACCTGTTCCTGTTCCTGGATAGGTCGTTTCTGGCCGGAAGTACTAACATTTTGCATTGTTAATATGCAGTATACTTCATTTAATATCAAAAGATCTGAAGTTCACTGTATACAACGTAAAATGATATTTTGGTTAAATGATGGTATTCCTGCACCCTGAAATTGTGCTAATTAACAAAAAAATAAAATTGTCTGAAAACAGTAGGCTATAAAGTGATTTCAAGCAAGTAGCATTTCACTTGAATTGTTTCAGGCTTTTGACCTTCTTGCAATGTGTACCAACGACAGAAGTCTTACTGTGATGATTATGTGCAATAATGCACTCTAACCTGTCAGTGTGTGTTTATTTTGCAGCAATTATTTTGTTTGGTGAGCCGGTGAGATGGGAAACCAACCTGCAGTTAATAATAGATGTTCTTTTGACAAGCGGCTACCCTGGAAAACCTTATCCTCGGGAAATATACCCACATATTCCTGTATTGGCTTGTAATATGGATCTAATGTGGGCATCTGAAGCCCAATCGCCAAGGTAAGAGAAGGATTTGCAGTAGTGGTCGTGTGTGCTGCATATATACACCTCCCCCACCCCATCTTTAACAGCAGGAAAAGAGAACTCTGACATACAGAAAGTCTTCACTCAGGGTGTACCACATGCTCTCAGTACATGTCACAGATAAACAAACATTATGCTGCTAATATTATAAATGTGTGATTCAAGTCAGAATCTTGCTGAAACGTAATGATTACTGTGCATCTGAGGCGAGCATCATCCTCAACCTGCAAAACTGGAAAGGACCCTATAGATATCAAGTCCAGCCCATATCAAGGAGACACAGTGGGAAACTGAACTTCCAAGGTCTGGCTTCGCAGCCAGAGACCTAAACCATTGAGCTACAACCCAGAATTATTTGTCATCTTGGGTGAAAACCTTAGCCACAGAAGAACTTCTTACCTTCCACCCAGCTACTTCTTTACCTGGCTGTTAATCTGACAGCACAGGGATCCAGACCTAATTGTGATCCCTAATTGGATTCTGTCACACTTTTTTCTGATGACCTTCAGAAACCCTGGAGAACTATTGCTCCTGAGTGTAAGTCACTGCTGGAGCCATGTTCAGATCCTGGAGAAGGGGGGAGCGGTTTAAGAAGGAGATATCATGCTTAAAAAAAATCATCATTCCAGGGTGTGATTTCAGTGCTCCTGGGCAGGCTGAGAGACCAACTGGACCCTGTTGCATTCTGAATGTTACAAGGAGAAGGATAGGTTCTGTTACTGGACCTGCAAAAATGTTGCGTCAAAATGCCCTTTTCCTCACTGGTGAAAACCTAGCTATAGTAGCTACCAGTGCGCTGTGATATGTTTTCTTGGATTATTGCAGTTGACAGGAGTTAAGCAGGTGGGGGGGGGGTAGGTGGGGAAACTGAGTTAAAGTAATGTTACTAAATGCTAAAAAACAACAAACCAATGGGATTTATGGGTCCTCCTCTATAAAGTAATATTTTGTTTTTATCCAGGCTGATTGTTCTTTATCAATCACAAATTTATTTCTTTGTATTTCAGGTTTGGGCATGGAACATTCATGGTTTGTTTAGAAAATATTTACAAAAAGATCACTGGCAAAGAATTAAAATATGAAGCTTTGATGGGAAAGCCTAGTGGACTCACTTACCATTATGCTGAGTACCTGATCCGAACGCAAGCAGCTGCAAAGCAATGGAAAAAACCAATTCAAACACTATATGCTATTGGGTAAGACGTATTTGATCAAAATGTTTCCTGCTCCAAATCCCAGCAAAACTTGATCTAGAGGAATAGCTAAAGCTTCTTCTGTGTCATTTGCCATCCAGTGAAGGGAAAGGGAATAATCCCAAGTAACTGAATAACTATCTTTTAGTTCAGATTGTGCATTATTCTGTTTTTGGATTTCAAACTTTTAACCTGTAGTAACCTTTCAAGATATCAGGTTCTTGACTTATGTTTTTATCTATGGGACTAGAACGGCTCAGTCCCAGAATGTGCTCAAAAATTATGTGGGCTAAACAGGAGAAGCCTGTGCTGCAGGGTCAAAAAACCAGCAGTCGTAAGATCGAATCCACGTGACGGAGTGAGCTCCCGTCGCTTAGTCCCAGCTCCTCGCCAACCTAGCAGTTCGAAAGCATGCAAATGCGAGTAGATAAATAGGGACCATCTCGGTGGGAAGGTAAAACGGCATGCCCTAGTCACGCTGGCCACGTGGCAATGGAAACTGTCTTCGGACAAGCGCTGGCTCTACGGCTTGAAAATGGGATGAGCCCCACCCCCTAGAGTCAGACACGACTGGACTAAAAATGTCAAGGGGAACCTGAACCTTTACGTTTTTTAATTTGCTAACATTTGTGGGACTGTATTGTTGAGTACATGGTTTCTTAATACAGTAGTGTAGTGTGAATGCCACCCTCTGTGATCACACCATGGGTTGCTGCAGAAACAGCCTCTTTATTGATGACAACACAACTTTAAAGGGCCAATGGTGGCAAACAAGTGTGACTTCACTCTCCCATTTCTATAAATTTCTGACCATTAGTCCTATGATGAGGAATGAAGCCCCTTCTCCTCTTATCAAGTCCAGAAATCCCCTCAAGTGGACCAAACGAGGGGGGAGGGCAGAGCAGAGATGATATGTGCAAGCTGTCAGCTGTCCCTGCAGCCAGGTAGCGAAGGCATTTTTTCCTGCCAGGCCACCTTGGCATCCAAGGATGTTTGCCAACCCAGAGGTGCAGTATTTCCTGGAAAAGGTCCTTCCAAGGTCCACCTGCACCTAGCTGGTTCCCTTGGTATGATGAGCTGGTGATCAGTGATGGACATCTCGGGGCCCTGGCCTGTGCTCAACCTAGTTAGGTGTAACATGCCCTTATGTGTCTCCAAGTTATTTCACTAGCCTGAGGCCCATGACATGTTCCCTCTTTTACGCTGCCACCAGTTGACCTCTGTCAACAACCTTTAATTAGAAAGATTGAGGTCCAAGCTGAGAGTAACGTTGAACAAAACAGGTTTATTGGTTACAGATCACATAAACAGGTTCTTTAAAGACTTAAAGTATTCATTAGTTTAATAATAACTTGTTTCACTCTTAACTCTCTTTGACTCTTAAACCACTCTCTCTCACTCACACACACACACAAACTTCTACTTCAGGCTCTCATTTCTGACTCTAACTGACTGACTTCTCACGTCAGATTCTCTCACACAATCTTCCTCTAACTGTCCTCCTCCAACTAACTTCTCCTTTCTGGTTTTTCTGGCTCCACCTCCCAACAGCTCTCATTTGTATATGCAAATAACCTACTACATGAGTCAAAGCAGGGTGATTGGCACATTAGCTTTTGGCAGTGCCATCTGGCCCTGCTGTTGCTTCTGCTGGCAACAGATGTGCTGCTAGTTCTCAGTTTGATGAGCCTCTTAGTATAGTGCCTGGTCATGCCCCACTCACACCGCTTCCTCTGGTGGCAAGAGGAAGTCAACCTAATACCAATGTCTGGGTCACACCAACAGATCCACTCCCAGCCTTCCTTCGACTTTGGCTAAACTGTTACCTCTTGAGTTTCACAGACCTCAGTCTGTGGTGTCAGCCCAATGCTCCTTCTTGACCGTTCCCCATTCCTCCCTAAGTACCAGCCGGGCCATGGCCATACCAGTGGCACTGAGGGTGTCGCTCACCTCCCAGTCTACCAAGGAGTTACAGGCTGGGAACCCAGCCAACAGCTTGGCCAAGGTGGGGTGCCCATTCTTGCTGCCGGGGAGAGAAGGCGCTCACTGGTCCAACATGTAGCATTTATAGATTTTTCTTCAGTTACTATCTGTTAGTCTTTCTGAAGAATGATATGCAACAGTTTCAAGAAACAAGCAGATTTTGTATAAAATAAGAAAGAATCTGTTTGTAGTTCATTGCGCTTTGGGTCTGCAGAGTTGCTGGACCAGGAAAAAGAGGTTCAGAAAGGATGCTTAGATAGGTGTTGCTCAAGCATGTAGTCTACCATAGACCATGTACTTTGTCAAAAGGGTTCAGTTTGTAATAGCCACTGCAATTCAAGTCAAATAATGAAATTACAGTTTGTTTTCATATGACCTTCTATTAGCAAAATAAAACTATGATTTGTAACCTGAAATGTATTGGTCCTGATGTAGTTTTTCTGACTTTCTAGAGATAACCTGATGACTGATATATATGGTGCTAATCTTTACAACCGCTACCTTGAAGAGAACCGTTCAAGAAGAGGGTCCAAGGCACGTTTCCAGGCCAAAGCAGCTGGTGGCACAAGGTCTTCCACAATCTCTCAGGAGGAAGATCTTGAAAACATGTGGGAAAACGAACTCTCTTCCGCTGTGGCCACAAGCTGTAGGTCTGTCCTTGTTTGCACTGGGGTGTACAACCCTCACACAGAGATGCCCTTTGATGCTAGGGAGAGCATAACTGAGACTGTGTTTCATGGGCACAGAGATTTCAGGTTTGACCCTGCTTTAGTAGAACCAGACCACATTGTGCCTGATGTTGATGCTGCTGTTGACTTAATCTTCCAGTTGGAGAACTTTGCACCAAAGCAAAACTGCAGGACTGACTAACCGTTTCTTAACAACTGTACTGACTCTTATAAAAAACAACCAGGGCACTTAGTAGCACATTCAAACTAACGTATTTTTGTTTGTGTCTGTGATACCTCTAATACACTCCTATTTATTCTAACAGCATTTCCCTTGATACATGAGTTTCTCTGCTCTGATTTCTTTTGATGGACATGTATGATTTTTTCCCCACATCGCAACTTAATTACCTAGCCCAGAAGTTTGAATCGGAAAGTAGAAAGGATATGTGTGTCCACATTCCCGCCCCCAACCATCCATACTTAAAATATTTGGCAATAAACTCTTTACAATGTTCCAGTGGGAAAGTTTATTCCTCCTTAGCTGCTTTCTCTTGCTCCTATTTCCATCTGTCAACTCTGTTTTCCTCCCTTCGTTTTCTTTGTGGAGAGAAAATACAGAGTCCTGGACGGTTTGCCATTAAAAAAATATGTTTTGGGGCCCTTTTTGCTCATCACAGAAAGTCTTGAAAGGGCCCTTAAAGTAGAAGCCACCAAGCATAAATGTGTGCAAAAGCCTTTGAAATTGATGGGAGTTGAGCAAGAGCAGTTAAGATTTTGCTCAAGTCTCACTCATTTTAAAGTCATTTCTGACTGCAGTCATTTCTGGTAGACTTTGCCCCTTCTGTATAGCCTTCTTGTTTATTCCGAGATACACTGAAGTTCTATTGTTAATCACTCTGGTGTTTATCCTGCACCAAACTGTAAAATGTCAAGCAGCCATTTGCCCTAAAGGTTTTAAGCTGAAACTCCAACCACATCAGCAATAACACATGTTGTCTCAAATAAACTGGTTGAGGTTCTTGCCCTGCACTCTCTGCTAATTCTCATCCGTTTGTTTTTTAGTGGTCATGTTTCTCGTGGATGTAAACTTTTAAATAATAACTTATTTCACATATTATTAATTTTATGAAACTTTCTTTTAATTTCCCAAAATTCTGTGTAGTAAAATATTTTCTTTGTAGGAAAACACACACAACCAAATCTCTCTCTCTCTCTCTTTCTCTCTCTCTCTCAGTAAGGTTTCCATCCAGTGCCAGTCATTTGTGCAGTGTAGTTTTGGGTGGATCTGTTGGATCAGTCAAAAGGGCCTAGCTGGCCCCCAGCCCCTCCAATGTTCCTCCCCACAATGACCAGCTAAGTATCTGTGGGTGGCCCCTAAGTAGGACAGGAAGGCAACAGCGCCTTCCTGCTTGTGTTTCCCAGCAGCTGGAGTTTGGAGATACATTCTATTAGAATATTATGCAGGCCAGTTACTAAGTCTTAGGGACTGTCTCTTTTGACATGCTCGTTTATTTATGTTCCTAAATTCTTAAAGCAAGACATGATTTAACTTTACAGAACCAGCTCACCACCACCAAAACATGTTGTTTCCCACCACTTTACCTAAAACAGATGTTACAATAACTTGCCTGTATTATGCTTGACACCCACACCCCCTTCTCCTTTGAAAATGGGTGTTGCACTGCCTCCTTCTCATACTCAGGGAAGTAAACTGGCTTTAAGAAGCTATACATTGTTGGTAGAAAACCTGCAATTTCACATTGTTGTTTAAGAAGCTTTAAGTGAATAGCCTCTGGAGACATTAATTTGTCAAGAAGATGTAGAACGTTGGCTGTTATGAGTCTTAGTTTGCCTGAGTTCTTACAATTCCATTCCCCAAAATGTCAATTCAAGCACAGATATTTGCCTCATGTCTTTTGTAATGAAGACTGGCCAGGGTTACATGAATGGACTTCACTTTGCTCTCCTTTCCCGTGTATCCCCCAGATTTCTTCAACACAAGCGCACAACTGTGTGGAGGAGATTTTGAGGGATCACAGAGAGGGGCTACAGGGAAATGGAGGAGTCCTTTCTACCAACTCTATTCCAGACAGACGGGGTAGACAGGTACACCATGGGATTTCATCCAAACAATTCTTTGCTGTTTTCTGCAATTCCCCTCATCGTCATCTCTTGGTTCAACTATCTTAGCTAGTTTCCTGCTTCTGATCTTTTTACAGAACCATATATTGTTGAACTGAATATTTAATTCTATTTTTTGCTAGCATTTGTTTTGCTAAATGTTGTTGTTTCTCCTCTTAGTTGAGCAAGAGCTCAGTTTTCTCATGGAAACCCCTTCCTGCTTTCCAGTGTTCTTGATTCTATTTCTTAACCACGCCTGCATTGCTCCTTGGACTTGGTGGAACCTTTTCTGATCTGAGGAATACATTCAGCTGAGCTTCCCTTCACTGTAGTTTTCAATAAACAGGATAAAGAGATGGCTTTTTCTACCAGCTTTCATTTTATGCATCCTTCATTTTTGAGGTTTTTCTGTTTTTGAAATCAAATGTGGTTGTTGGGTTTCCTGGTCATTGTTCCAGTTCAGTTCAGGTTGGGGTGTCCCTTAAGTGTGGGCCATCTCTCTCTGATTATTCTGAACATCTGGAAATTGTAGCCTGCCTTGCCATGACTAGAACATGTACTTTACCCAGTTTGTGGGTACCAAGCAATATCTTTCATTAACTGCAAAATAGCATCTTCTAGATTATTTTGAAAGGCAACCTATTTTCTTGTATATATACCAGTTTCTTGGCCAACCACATGAAATTGCTGCTTCTGGACACTCTCAGGTTCACTCTCAGCTGTGCAAAATACTTTACATTCTCAGAGCATCCGCTCCTGTGCTGCTCTGTTAAAGGGTAGTGTGTTTAGGTGGCCGCAAGACTCCCTATTTTATGACTAGGTCAATGAGTACAGTTCATATGACTTGATGTTTACAAAACTCTGATCTCTGGAATTCAAGATTTAATAAAACAGGCATTGGCTCATGTCCAAGGGTACTTATAGTTCCATTTTTACAATGAGATTACTTTTTGTATGTACATGTTTTAATTTTTATCGTTTGCTTTATAAAAAAACATGTGAACTAATGTTCTGTTTAGTGCTAAGGAATAGGGGAAATCTGTTTAAAGCAAGGCAGCTTGTGACATAGCTTAGGCTGCAGCACCATGAGCAAAGTGGAAACCTTTGACGTTCTAGTATTCCAGACTCCGGTTCCCATAATTGCAAGACACTGACCATGCCAAGTGGGGCTTCTGGGAAGCTGAAGTCCACAATCTCCACCTCTGCCTCCCCCCCGAAAAGTAAATTTAAAAGCCAAAATGTGTTGTTCCCAGTCCCTTAAAGACTTCCTGCCAGAATCTTTGTTGAGGCTGTGTGATGGGCTATCTAGAAAAAGCCATTGTCTTTTATGCTGCTGCTGCTGCTGCTGCAAGACTCCTAACGGTATGGTGGCATCTTGCCTGTTTCTTCTGACCCAAAGGTTTGAGAGAAGAAAGGTTTTAGGGGATAGGGACTAAATCAAGGGACATCATGAGAAGACAAGACTCACTGGCAAATACAGTGCTAGGAAAAGTGGATAGCAGTAGGAAAAGAGGACGCCCTAACATGATATGGGTTGGCTCAGGAAGCCACACTGCCTGCTCAGGTCCATTTAACAGTAGGACATTTGGAGGTCACAAATTCACAGGTTTGTTACAAGGCCGAAACAAGTGGACAGTACATCATAGCAACTTACAGGTAGATAGGTTGAGGGGCAGAATTTGGTTCTTCAGCCCTTTGAACGGCAAGGAAGATACAACTGCCACCCAGCGACTGAGCTGCTGAAGATCTACACACATGAAGGAAAGATGCAGGGTCTGATGCTATCAGATGTCAAAGTTGGCAGCTTAGTGGCACAGGGAGTAGACATAAAAGAAGCCTTTGGCTTTTAGAGTTGTGTGGTACAGTGAAACTCCCTGATAAATGAAAAGGAGAAATAACGGGGGGACACCAGCCCAGGTGGTTACCCTCATACCTAAAAGTAAAGGCTTCTTCAGGGCCTTAAGAAACTCAAAATAGCGTAATATAATGTTAGTAAGGAAACACTGTTTACCAGGATTCAGCATTAGACTTCTGCTGATGGGAAGAGTCCAATGGAAGTGCAAGACAGAACGTCCTTACTTTTCCAGAGCACCCCCCGTACACCCCAAAACCATTCCTTGGAGTGCTGGCAGTCCCTCCATAGTTAATGTTCAGGCAGCTTTTGAGGGCTGCGGGGTGGGGGGGCAGAGGAATGGGAAAGGGGCTGCTAATGTGCCACGGTTAAACCAGTGCTTTGGCATTTAGAGTACTTATTCCATCAGAACTACCATGCAAAACAATATGAGCTGCCATATTGCAGGTGGGGGCTCAGATGGGCCTGCCTGAAGCTAACTTGCGAATTTGTGGCTGAGAGATGAACAATGAGCTTACAAAAGACTATTCCAGATGTGAGAGCAAAGCCCACTTATGTACTGTAAACTAGGATAAAAATTCAGTGTTTAGAATGTGTATGTTTTAAATAATTTGGGTGAGTGGTTTTTTTTGGGGGGGGGGAAACCCATGGTATTAGTATAACTGTATCTGGGTACCTTTTAAGAGAAGTAGACATTCTACTGTAGCATGTTATAATGGAAGTTTATGTATTAAAAGCTGTTAAAAACAATATCTCTTGGGACATCTATTACAAGTCTCGCTGCTGTCATTATACGGGTCTTTCCTTCATTCAAATACAGGTAATAAAAACATAATACTACAAACCAAATAATAATGCTCAGTATCATTCTCTGGTGTTTTGGATGTCACACTCATAAGGATTCAATTCACATTTGAGGGACCTGCAGGCTGTTAACCCTAGCATCACTGGTGGATGTTAAGGTGGCATTCACAGCACCAAGTGTCTTTCACAAGCTTTGGCTGATAATAACTGCTGTGTCCATTATTAGAAATGCAACATTCAGCCATGGTTATCTATGCCGCACTGACAAGTAGCTCTAATTCAGCCCCTACACAGAGTAAATAACACAAATAATGCTTCCCTTTCCCCACAAGAAAGTGGAAATAAAAACATGGAAATTGTAATGTTACAATACACTAGTTCTGTTCTAACATTTTTTTTCCTTCCTTCCTTGAGGGAAGGATGAGCTAGCTGCCAGTTACGCTTCTTGACACATTGGCTCTTCACAACTGATTCTGGGATTGGATTCTCTCATGAATAGCTTCTCTATGTAAATAGAGAAAGGTGGGATGTAAAAAAACAGTAGCCTTTGATGTGTGGTTCTTTGGATCCTACTTATAATTTGCTCGACTGCATCAACAGAATACCTAATTAGATACAACACTGCTTATAGAGACCTTTGGGTAGAGTGGGCGGCATATAAGTTAAATAAATAAATAAATAGTGCATACATGATAATAGATAATGCTGTCCGCCATTAGGCCATGCAAAATATCTACCGTACAATAGGTGAAGGCAGGTTTCATCTGCAAAGCAAATTTCTAGAAAGTCTTCAAGTGACTACAATATAATCCAAATAATTGGAACTAGAATACAGTATTTTCTAACAACTTTCCAGGAAATTTTTATTATGCCAGTTAATGAGATACTCGACAGTTCAGCTAAAGCAGAGTTCCATGGCCTGGGCTGGACCGGGCCGTGGAAACAGATCTCCCACCCACCCCCCACATGCACTCCCCCTGCACAGCCCCTTCGTGCATGCGTGCGAGAGCACACATGCTCCTGCCCTTTGTGCATGTGTGCCCACCTGGGCAGGCCAACACCCTTGCCCCTTTGCGCATGTGTGTGTGCGCGCGTACAAGCCCCCTGCCCCTTCAGGCATGCGCGGGGTGTGCTCCACCTTCCTAGAACGTGGATCATGTCCTCCCCCAACCAATCCACAGTATCAAAAAGGTTGGGGACCACTAAAACACTTTCCACATGGAAATAACAGGCCATGAAATAATGGGACACAGAACACACATCATTTTTGGGAAGCATGTGGCACACACAGAATAAGGTCCAAAATGTTTCACAATTCCTTTCATACATATGGCATTTTCAAAATAACACAAAGTGGAGTTATGAAAAATCTATAATTTATTCAGTGAATTGAATTAAGTACATTTTTTTTGCAATGTCATAGCTGGAAAACATATTCAATCCATCAAATGGAATGGAAATTGCCATTTATTCCTCTCATTAGCCATTAGAGGGCAGTAGAAAATTTAGATTTTCCAACAGGTCTTGACAAGCTTGTTACCTGAACCCACTTAGTAACCCCATCTACCTTTTGGACCTCATGGAATTCAGCTGTACTTTATTTTAACACTGAATTCAACTTTTAGCATAACACTCCAACAAAAACATTTCAAGAACTTAATTAAAAATTGTATCAGAATTGGAGTGTTCTGAGTGAGGAGGAATTAAAGGACCTCTTAATGAGGGTGAAAGAGGAGAGTACAAAAATGGTCTGAAGCTCAACATAAAAAAAAACTCAGATTATGGCCACTGGTCCCATCACCTCCTGGCAAACAGAAGAGGAAGATAATGGAGGCAGTGACAGAGTTTACCTTCTTGGGCTCCCTGAGCACTGCAGATGGCGACAGCAGCCATGAAATTAAAAGATGCCTGCTTCTTGGGAGGAAAACGATGACAAAACTAGATAGCATCTTAAAAAGCAGAGACATCACCTTGCCAACAAAGGTCCGCATAGTGAAAGCTATGGTTTTTCCAGTAGTGATGTATGGAAGTGAGAGCTGGATCATACAGAAGGCTGGCAGCCAAAGAATTGATTCTTTTGAATTGTGGTGCTGGAGGAGACTCTTGAGAGTCCCCTGGACTGAAAGGAGAAGAAACCTATCCATTCTGAAGGAAATCAACCGTGAGTGCTTACTGGAAGGACAGATCCTGAAGCTGAGGCGCCAATACTTTGTCCATCTCATGAGACTGTCTAGAAAAGACTTTGATGTTGGGAAAGTGTGAAGGCAAGAGGAGAAGGCGACATCAGAGGACGAGATAGATGGACAGTGTCATCAAAGCTACCAACATGAATTTGACCAAAGTCTGGGAGGCAGTGGAAGACGGGAGAACCTCGCGTGCTCTGGTCCGTGGGATCACCGAAAAGTCAGACACAACAGCAAAGAGCCAGTATTATTTATATTTAATCCAATGACAAAAACCTGAAAGCACCTGAAGGGGATGAGGTAGTTCCACAAGTACAAAGGACCTGCACAGCCACTCCATCAACTACCAGCAGGAAAGCCTGATGTTTCTAGAAGCAACGTTCCCCTTACTGACGGGCTACTCTTCACTGACAAGACTGAGTGGGTTCCAGTCTCTGCTTTTCATGTTATGAACAGAAGTGAGGAGGAAAATGTATGTTCGTGAAGGGGAAGGGGCAACAGTCTATACACAATTTCAATGTCCAGCTATATATATTTCAAATAAAAAACCCACCAAATTTGACTGGAAGCAAAACACTGATTTTGCCTAAATAATATTTAGCTCAATAAATTTGATAGGTATTTTCCATACATGAGCAATATGGAATTTTGTAACCCACAGTAGAGCCACAAGCTCTGATGGTACTGGCTAAGGTGGTTTTAAGAAGTAAGAAGACAAATTTATTAGTCTACATCGCCTCTTAATAGACTCAGACAGCAAATAGTGACAGGATTCTTAACCAATACATAACCCAAAGAGAGGCTGCTGAGCCCAAAAGTTTGCAGACATTCAATTCAAATGGGGAAGTGTATAGAGATATAATATCCCTGAAACACACTCAGCGGACCCAAAATGCTCAGCCTATAGATAAACTAGAAAACTAGACTCAGGAAGTGGAGTAACCAGGGAAAAGATATTACTGGTGGCAAGCTTCACCTACCAATGGCTATTAATCACACTAGTTGTAAGCAGTTTCTAGATTCAGAGGCACTATGTCAATGAATATGGCCTTCACATCCTGTTTTTGTCTTGCTGGAAGTGATCTGAGCTGTACCATAGAGAAACAGAATGGTCTGATCCAGTATGGTTTTTAAAAACATTGTATACATATCTGAGCAGCTCCAGTTTTAAGCTAGAGTTCATAATACTTCTGTTCCCTCTGATGTTTGGGAAGTTCTTACCTGTTTTGAACTATGGCCTGTATCTTATTGGCACTTGCCACCCACAGTCATAAAAGCAGCTATTTGGTGACATGCTGGTTGCATGTCTGGCACTTCACCAAATACTTCCTCCTCTTCTGGAATGTGGCTCCACACACAGTATTTCCCAACACAACTCTGGTCTGGGGCAATTATGGCAGGATCTTGACGTCACACACATTTCTGAATTTTATATGAACATCTCAAATCTAACTCAAATTTCAGTATTTTTTGTTGATATAATTATAAAATAATTTTCAGAAGCAGCTGGCATTGGATATCACTGAGTTAATCAAAACTTAGGACTAGTCTACAGTATAAACATTGCAAGCTGCCAAGCTGCTCCAAAAGGTTTGCTCTTGTTACAGCTGTAGGAGTTGAGATTTCTTTATTGGAATTCTGTGGTCTAGCTGTACCTAGTAATACTTTTCAGCACATCCACAAACGGGGCACAGTCCAAAAAGAGTGATGCAACAACCAAGACATGTGAAACTGTATCTATCTAAGTGCAGCTGCACACCTGCTACTCTTGAAATGACTGTGGTCAGCCATCAGATTTCAATCCCTATTTCTTCTGTCTCACAAGCCCAGTTCCTCAATCCCACAGAGAATTCAACTGTGCTCCCTTACTCAAAATTCCTCTTGGCTGATCTGCACATGGATATAAAAAAATGCAAGATGGGGTTTAAACCATTACCTTGCATGTCCAGTCCCCTTACATGCACAGACTCTATAAACAAGTCACCATCCACTTAGCTGATAAAGCAGACGTGGGCAAAACGTGGTCTGCAGGCCACATGTGCCGACAGTGGCAGTTCTGTGTGCAGTCTTTCTTTCATCCTATGAGCCCAGTTTATTGGATATCAATAGTATTTCATTTCAAAGCCTCGTGTGGCCTATAGGTGGTAGGAGCAAACTTTGGTTCCCAGGCCCATCAAGGATGCCCCTCCCTGGTAAGCCCAATTCCATTTTTCTTGTGGTAGAGTAGACCAGATTGCAGTTAAAGGATCTCATTTCAATAATTCACAATGCAAAACAGCTGATCCACGATGGGCATGGGTCATTTTTCTTTGCAGCCATGGTAGCAGTACTGCAGGGTTGAAACCAGTGTCAAGAGAGTCAAAGTGGAGCAAAAACTTGCTGTGTTTTTTTTAAAACACACCCAACAGGTGGTAGCATATTTTTGTTCTGTTTTGCTTCAATCTAGTCTAGTGCAGAATTCCTAATAAGGACTCTAGCACTGCACTGTCCCATTCTGATCCCTTTTGTGTGCCACTTGGTGACATTTTTTTGCTGGTCAGTCTCCAGCACTCCAAACCCCAGGGATTGTTGAAACAAGGGAGACAGGAGAGAGTGAAGTAGGCAGGGAGAAAGTATAGGAGCTAGGCAAAGGGAGAAGGCAATCTGCGTTGAAAGTGAAAAGTTGGGAAACAATTCCAGATGTGGGTGGACAGATGATACTAAGACAATGCACTGCATCCTATTACATCCAGCTACAAAGACAGTGTATGGATGCATACTGGGATAACCTGTTCACATTTTCAACAAAAAATAAATGCCAGAGCAACTGCAGACAACACCACTGTGTGGATAAATCCTTAAGGAGAAAAGTTCTAGCCCAAC